GGCGAAGCTTGGCAGGGAGGTGGGCGACTCGCGCCCCGTCCTCACGCGGCTCCCGCAGCGCGCGCGCAGCGGGCTTCTATGGGCGACGTCGTCGAGGAGCTGACGGACTTACTGCTGAACAACGGCGGTCTGGTCGAGACTGGAAGAAGCTAGAGGCGGAGTTCGGCGAGCGCGCGATGCACGGGCCACTCGCACCATACTTCCTGGGCTACCACATGCGAACAGGCGCCCTGCTCGTCTTGGCGGTCGACGGGGTCGAGAAGGCGCAGGCCGCAGGGTTTTCAAGAGGCCGCCGAAGGAGCAGGCTTGGGACGGTAAAGATTGATTGGGACGCTCGGTGCGGAGTACCCTGGGCTACGCGCCCTGTAGAGGAGGCAGGCGCCATCCCCGGGGCGCCCGTCGCGGCCGCCCCGAGGAAGGAGCCGCGAGCGCCGAGAGCGAGATGCGCGCTGCGCCGCGACATTGAGAAGTGCGGGGCGACGGCAGGACGCATGGGCCGCCAGGGGCTGATGCAGAAGGGCAAGACCACGAGGGCGCACGCCGAGGAGTGTCGCGAGAGGGTCGCAGAGATGATGAAGGGGGGCACACAGGACAGGGTCCGACTTACCGAGCACCGCTTTCGAGCCGAGGACGAGGACGAAGTACCTGGGCCACGTGCTCGAAGGGCTGGCGCCGAAGGAGATCGAGCGGAACAGCCAGCGCCCGAAGGAGGTGAAGCAGGAGGAGTTCGCGCTGAAAAGCCGACGAGGTTTGCAGCAGGGGTAGCGGTGGAAGCACCACCGGCGCGATCAGGAAGCGCAGAGCTGCTCTACCTGAGCCAGGTCGAGCCACGCGAGTACGAGGACCATCACCTGAGAGTCCAGTACCAGCACCTTAAAAAAGGAAAAGAGGCTGAAGCTCAAGCAAGCCAGACTCAAGAAAAGGCGCCGATCGAGCAGACTCAGATGAACGTGGAGGAGCTGGTGGACACACCGATGACGTCAGCAGTCGCGACGGGGTCTGCGCCAGCATCATCGTCGGCATCAGAAGCAGCATCGAGTTCGAGGCCGAACCCGGCTCAGAACCCTGCGATGGACGTAGATCAGTTGGAGATTGTAAGCGGCACCTACAAGGGCAGCATGTTCGTGGCCGTCTACGAGGTGGTCACCATGGAGCGCAGGGAGTTCGCCCGCATCGACTACAGCGAGGTGGACACGGAGCAGGCAGAGAAGATCGCGCCATTACTCACGGAGATGTGCGCGGTCGACATTCCGAATATCTACTCGCCGAAGAGGTTTGCTGAGATGACGTTCAGGTCCGGCCTCGCACCTGGCCTTGCGGTGGACATCGAGACAGGCTGGGATCTACGACTACCAGCACATCGCAAAGCGTGCTTGGAGCAGTTGCAGAAGCAGGACCCACTACTAGCGGTAACCAGCGCACCGTGTACATCATTCACGAACCTGCGGAGGTTCTCGGGCGCGAAACGTGATCCGAAGGTCATGGAGGCGGAGATCCTGGAGGGCGAGACGCACCTCAATTTCTGCATAAGGATCTTCAAGGAGCGCCACAGGGCAGGGGAGCTGTTTCTTCACGAGGCGCCGTGGTCAGCGCGCAGCTGGTACCGACCTAGCGTCCAGGAGGTTATCAAGATTGAGAACGTGTTCTTGGTCCATGGGCCTATGTCCCGCTGGCACATGGAGGCGATCGGTCCCGACGGCAAGTCGGGCTTCGTTCGGAAGGAGACCGGGTGGCTCACCAACGTCGAGTTGCCTGCGAACATCTTCCAGGGCGAGTGTACATGTCCAAGAGGTCCGAACGGAGAACTACCGCGCCATGTACGCGCGGTCGATGGACGAGCTAGGCACGCTCAGCGGTATCCTCCGAGCTCGGTCGCTACCATTCTCAAAGGCTTGCGAGACGAATTACGACGACGTGAAAGACTTGCTACACTTGCCGCTCTTTGTGGAGGTCCTCATCCCCGCGAGGAGGATTCAGAGGTGTTCGCCGAATGCCAGGACGACTACTTCATCGACGAACAGACGGGTGACATCCTCGACCACGAGGGCGCCCAGGCTGCGCGGCAGGAGGAGTTGGAACGGTGTCGAGGGAGGCGCGCATGGGAGAAGGCACCCAGGAAGGAGACGCAAGAGAAAGGCAATACAGCGGTCACCCTCAAGTGGGTCGACACGAACAGAGGCGACAAGCAGCAGCCACGATGTCGATCGAGGCTGGTAGCAAGAGAGATCAAGAAGGCCATGAGAGCAGAAGACCCCCTGATCAGTACGAGCTGTTCTCAGCCATGCCGCCAATGGAGGCGTTTAAGGCGATGGTTACGATCTTCGTGGGCCGCGTCAACGACGACTACTACCAGGGCGTGCAATGTGAGACCATCTACACGTTCTACGACATTTCAATGGCCCACTTCTACGGCGACGTAACTCGGGAGGTCTACGTGGAGCTACCCGAGGAGGAGACCTGCGATGACCCCGAGCCGACGGTGGGCAAGCTACTCAAGACGATGCACGGCACAGTTGATGCAAGCCATGTGTGGCAAGACGACTACATAGGCCTGACGAGCTCGCGCGGTTTCTAGGAGGGCATCTCGGACCCAGCGATACTCCATCATGCCGAACGTCAAATACAAGCGGGGGTCCACAGCGACAATTTCGGCGTTATCATGGAGAAGTCCCAGGAGGGGTGGTTCGAAGAGGTCCTGTCACGCGACGACTTCAAGGTCGCGGGGGTGCTGAGCAGCAGGGCGACGAGCGTGCAGATCGTGGTCTACCTCTATGGGGTCCTGGTCTGGGATCCGACCAAGCGGTCAGCTTACCTCGAAGCCGACGCGTGCCACGTCTAGAAGGTGATCAGGGACCTGGGCCTGGAGAGTGCGAAGGAGGTCACCACGCCGGCGGTGAAGCGCTCAGTTTCTGACGTCGCGAAGGTGGATCGTGAATCGCTGAAGCTCGACGACGAGAAGTTGAAGACCTACCGCAGCGTGACCGCGAGGATCATGCACCTAAGCATGGACAGACCAGACATCAGCTACGCCGCGAGTGCGCGGGCGAGACACATGAAGGAGCCGAGGGAGAACGACGTGGAGGACTCGAAGAGAATTGGCCGCTACTTGAAGAGGTACCCGGCAGGGCAGTTGCTGCTCCCATCGCAGGGGCTACTAGACAAGACCAGCGTATATTGCGACGGCGACTACGCCGGGGACCCGATTACGAGGCGTTCGGGAACGGGAATGGCCATACTATTGGGATCGCATCTGCTGAAACATGGCAGCACGGCCCAATCCACTGTGAGCCTCAGCAGCGGAAAGGCCGAGTATTACTCGCTACTGCGTGAATCTTGTCACTGTTTTGGAGCGAAGGCGATGCTGCGCGACTTGGGCGCGGGCGCGAGCGACGATGCGGAGTTGCGGATCTTCAGCGACAGTTCTGCAGCCAGAGGTATTTCAAGCAGACAGGGACTGGGGGCTGTTCGACGCATAGACGCACGATTTCTGTGGATGCAGGAACGAGCGCAAGACAAGAAGCCGTTGCTGAAGGCGGTCGAGGGCCACTGGGATCCAGCCGCCGTGTTCACGAAAGCTCTCGACCAGGGGGCGATGGAGCGGGTGTCGAAGTTAATTAATTCCACGATGAAGGCCAACGGGATTGTGAGACACCGCGGGCTTTGACGACGCCGGCCGTTTGCCAACGCACTCGTCGTGAAAAAGATTCCCGCTGGCCCTATAGGCTTTAGCCCTCCGCCTCCGCTCAGCTGCGGCGCCGAAGGTCGAGAAGGGGCGTTCGGTTTTCCTGGGGCCAGCCCGTAGTTTAGAGCGGTTACTGAAACCAGCGGATGTTTCGCTTGAGTGCCGATCGTTTCGAGTTTCGGCTAGAGCAAGTTGTGATGGGAACAGATTGAATCGTGCTCCGCCCGTATTCCATCGTTGCTCAAAAGGAGTTGAAGACTCACTCTCTGTCGCTCCCTCTCTCCTCTCTCTCCCTCTCCCTCGCTCACTCCCCTCTCTCCCCCTCGCTCCTCCCTCTATTGTTATATTCCTTTATTTCTTTCTTTCTTTCTTTCTTTCTCTCTCTCTCTCTCTCTCTCTCTCTCTTTCTCCCACTCTCTCTCTCTCTCTCTCTTTCCCGCTCTTGCTCTCTCTTTCTCCCTCCATCTGTCCGTCGCTCCTCTCTCGCTCTCCATCCTTTTTTTTTTTTTTTTTTTTTTTTTTTTTTTTCTCTCTCTCTCAATTTGTCCACTCTCGCTCGCTTTGTTCGTTTTGTTTTATTTGTTTTGTTTGTTGATCTCTCTCTCTCTCTTTCTCTGCCGGACAGCCAGGCCTCGGGTCCCTTCAGGGCCCGCGTTGGGGTACCATGCGTGGAAGCCTACTCACCAGCAAGTGGTGCGCCGTTGCCACTGGCGCGTTCCAAGCCGCCCCCCGCCCGCCCGTTCCCCTGGCGCCCTGGTCGATGCGAGATAGCGTGGCACGCGAGCCTACTCGTCTGTCTGTCGTGACCCGTCCACCGGTCGAACGCCGAGGTGGCCGTTAGGACCTTTGAGTCATGCCAACCCTTGCCACAATGGTTAGGTGCGCGCCCCGCTAGCCCGGGCGGCGTCTGCACAGTCTCTCTCTGCCTCTCTCTCTGTTCCCCCCCTCTCTCTCCCTGCCCCCCCTTGTTGTTCTCTCTCTCTCTCTCTTTCACTCTCTCTCTCTCTCTTAATCTCTCTCTTTCTCTTTTTCTCTCTGTCTATTCCTTCTCTCTCTCTTTCTCTTTTTCTCCCTCTCTCTCTCTCTCTCCATCTCCCTCCCTCATTATCTCTCTCTCTCTCTCTCTCTCTTTTTCTCTCCTTCTTTGTTGTTTGTGATTACCTCTCTATCGTTTTTTTATTTTTCGTTTTTTTTTTTTTGTTTATATATCTATCTCTCTCTCACTACACTCACTCTCTTTCTCTCTCTGTCTCTATCGCTCCCCTCTCTCTCCCTTTCCCCCGTGTGGCCTTGCACGAGCCACTTGTGGACTCGTCAGGTCCAGGCCAAGATCAAAGATTTCACGCCCACGCAGCTGGCGCACGTGGGCGCGCACCGTGCTACTCAAAAGGAGGAGGGAGGAGGAGCGGGGGCATCCCCGCCTCGGGATCTTCGTGTTCAACCTTGATATTGTCTATCTTGTCTGCCGGAGGTTCCCTGCACCCTGCAGTATGACTTCCCGTTGCCGGGGGGATTCATGTCATCAACGCTGTGCCCCTGGGCGTCGAAACTACGGCGTACGTCAAGATTGATCTGGGCACACACGGGACATTAATTCTCGCAGAGGGGGTGCGGAATGGAGAGATTTGTTTAGTTCTGAGGTCTCCAGAGGCTTCCGCGTCGTATGAGAGCCTCGGCGACCCCTGGGGACCCCCATAAACGTCCAGGGACCTCCAGAGGAGGTGGAGGAGCAGCAGTCGAAGCAAGAAAGAGGAGGAGTGGGAGCTGGGAGAAGAAGGGTGACGGTGAGGAGACGGTGGAGGGGGAGAGGGGGGAAGAGAAGGAGGCGGAAGAGAGGAGGAGGAGGAGGAGGACGAGGACGAGGAGGAGGAGGAGGAGGAGGAGGAGGAGGAGGAGGAGGAGGAGGAGTACGACAACGACAACGAGGGCGTAGTGCAGCCGATTGCATGCGCTGCCCGCGCGACATGCCCCGACGGGAATGCTCCCTTGCAGCAGGCACGACGTTGCATTAGAGGCGCAACGCCGTGAGGGCGACGCAACCGGGGCGAGAATCGAGGTTCGAAGCGTTTCGGATGTTTCTTGGACGTCTCGCGGCCGCCGTTCGTCCTTCCTCTCTCCTCCTGCAGGGCGCCTATTTCGCTGCACAGTAGCCCTGTGTCCGCTCGGCCGGTCTGCGCGATCGCCAGGTCCGCGACCAACAAAGATTGTTCTGAGGCGTTGCTGGACGTCCTCGCGGTCACGACTGGACGCAGCTCGAAAACACTGCCGGTCGCCAGGCGTGGGCCTTGGGCGGGCTCCGGCGGGGATCCGCTCCGTCTTCTGCGCAGACTCTGGGTCGGAGGCTCGAGGCCCGGGCTCTCTCTCTGCCCCCCTCCTGGCCCCTCGGGGGCCCCCTGGGGCGCCAGGCCCCGACGGGAGGGCGCTCCCGCGGCAGCTGCGACGTGCCGACAGTGGCTCACTCTCCGTGGAGACGACGCGCCCCAGGCTCGAGGGCCGCAAGGGCCTGCCGCAAGGGTCGGGGGCGAGCGAGGGAGGGGAGGCGAGAAGGAGAAGGCCGTCTCTCAGGAGGCGGCGGGGCCTCTCAGAAGCCCTCGCGCCCTTTCGAAAACTTGTGAGGAGGCCGGGAACTTCCGAGCCTCCTGGGAAGGCCCATTCCTTTTCTCGGGCCGAACGAACTGGGGGGACAGGGAAAGGGGGGGTTGCGAAATCCGCGGGCCCATTCCTCGATACATGGGCGCCTCCCGGCGCCGGGAGGCGCTGTCAAAATCAGCTACATGAGCTGAGTCTCTACCCTACCCTTTGCTGTCCCCCCCTTCGTTCCCCCCGATTCTCACCTCCCCCCCCGCGCTCGCCGCCAAAGGGCGGCCTTGCGGGCTCAGGAGGCGCTTTGGCTTCTGGGCCGCTCCTCGATCTAGGTCGGGGCACCTATTCGCGGCCGAGGTTCACCGTGGCCTTGAAAGCCCCTTCGTTCCTTCTTCGGCGTTCCTTGTGGTATCGCAGGCCCAGGGGTAGACACCGACACCAATATCGGCGGTGTACCTCCACCGAGTGAAGAACATCCCGATCTCGGAGATGGTGTTAATCTTATGGTTTCAAGGTGACCGAAAGATGACCACCAACACCGAAACCTAGGATCATCTTCCCCCTGTGGAGGCAACCCCCTGTATTGGTGTTGGTGCCCATTTCCAGGCCTCCCATGGGAACACGATGAAAGTACAATTTCTGTCGGCGTGCAGGTAATTGGTTTCGTCCCCAGGGGGGTCAGTCAATCCCATACATCCCCCCACATAATTTTTGCAATCCGCGGCCCCAAAAGTCCCGACCCCTTGGTTAGGTTTTGAACCAGACCCGTTTCTGATAGGCCAGGGGCCCGATGCCGGGCCCCAGAGGCCGAGATTCTTGAAACGCGCCCACGTCGAGAACACATCTCCTTGGAGATCCGGGATCCCCCCTTGGCGGACCCGGGCTCGGGAACCACGTGGGTCGGCCTTGCCTCCCCGCCCCCGGCCGACCCCAGCCCGGGGGCTGCTTCGCGGCCGGCCTGGGCTCGCGACGGGGCCCCGACTGGCCCGCACTGCGAGTGGGAGATCGACTGCGGAGTCGATGCGCCCCAGCCATGACTACCGACGACCAGTGCGCACATCTGCAAGCATATTCTGCGCACGTGTCGCAGACCTGAAGGGAAAGTTGGGCGACCTCCTGCTCGAGAGCACTGGTTCTGGCGCGGGCCGCGGGCCAGCCCGTTCCCGATTCTGGCCACGACCCAGCCTAGAAAAGGTCACATGATGTCCCGTCTTTGGTTCTCGCACAGGAGGTGTGAAAGAGCGCGTTCTGTGGTCGCTTGGGGGGGGTGGTTGGAACCGGACCCCCCCCCCACCCCCCTGGATGGAGGGGGGGGGGGTTTTCGAACCCCTTCCCCCCCTCCCCCTTCCCGTGACAGAGGGGGGGGGGGTTCAACCCCCCGCCACCCCCCCGTCTCGTGACGGAGGGGGAGGGTTTCAACCCCCCCCCCCTCCCCCTTGCTTCCCCTCTCCTCGGGCCGGCGCTTGCGTCGGCGGCGGCTGGCGACGGCGGCGGGGACGACGATTTCCATTTCTGGGCGGGCGCCGACGCCTGCGGCGGCGGGCGGGGTGGCAGGGAGCGTCGACGAGGACGACCTGGTGGTGGTGGTGGGTTGTGGTGGTGGTGCTGGTGGTAGCGGTGGTGGTGGTTGTGGTGGTGGTGGTGTGGTGGTTTGTTGTGGTGGTGGTGGTTGTGGCGGTGGGTGGTGGTGGTGGTGGTGGTGGTGGTGGTGGTTTGGTGGTGGTGTGGTGGTAGTTTGTGGTGGTAGTGGTGGTGGGTTGTAGTGGTAGAGTTTGGTGGTAGAGTTTGGTGGTAGTGTGGTGGTGGTTTGTGGTGGTGGTGGTGGCTTGTGGTGGTGGTGGTGGTTGTGGTGGTGTGGTGGTTTGTGGTGGTGGTGGTGGGTTGTGCTGCTGGTAGTGGTGGTGGTTGTGGCGATGGTGGTGGTGGTGTCGTAGATTGTGGTTGTGGTGGTGGTAGTAGTGGTGGTGGGTTTTTGTGGTGGTAGTGGGGATGGTGAGTTGTGGTGGTGGTGGTGGTGGTGGTTGTGGTCGTGTGGTGGTGGATTGTGGTGGTGGTGGGTTGTGATGGTGGCGGAGGTTAGTGGATGTATGTTGTGGTGGTGGTGGTGGTTCTGGCGGTGGTGGTGGTGGTGGTGGTGGTGTGGTGGTTTGTGGTGGTGGCGGTGGGTTGTGTTGCTGGTAGTGGTGGCGGTTGTGGCGGTGGTGGTGGTGGTGGTGTGAAAGATTGTGGTGGTAGTGGTGGTGGGTTTCTGTGGTGGTGGTGATGGTGGTGGTGATGGTGAGTTGCGGTGGTGGTTGTGGTGGTGGTGCTGGTGGTGGCTGTGGTAGTGGTGGTGGTGGTTGTGTGGTGCTGTTGGTAGTGGTGGTGGTGGTGGTGGTGGTGGTGGTGGTGGTGGTGGTGGTGGTGGTGGTGGTGGGGTGGGGTGGGGGTGTGGTGGTGGTGGTTGAGGCGGTGGTGGTGGTGGTGGCGGTGGTCATCGTCGCTGCGTCCCCGCCGTCGCCGGCTCCAGCGCCGGCGCTGCTGGCCGCCGCCAGCGCCGGCGCCGAGGGGGTGGGGGGGGCGGGGTTTGAACCCCCCCCCTTGGGAAGGGATGGGGGGGGGGGGTTTGAACCCCCCCCTAGGCTGCCTCTGGTCATCGTCGCTGCGTCCCCTGCCGTGGGCGCTGCTGGCGGCCGCCAGCGCCGGCGCTGGCGCCGAGGGGGGGGAGGATTTTGAACCCCCCTTACCCCCCCTTGGGAAGGGGGGGGGGGGGGAGGGGCCCCCGTTGGGAGGAGGGGGGGGGGTCGGGAGGGGGGGGGTCGGGAGGGGGGAGGGGAGTCCCCCCTGGTTTTGATCGACGGCGCCGAGTGTTCGGGGGAGGGCCTCCCCCCGGTTTGAAACGCGCCGCGGAATGTTCCCGAGGCAAGCGCCCGTGAAACGCGCTCTCTCGGAGGTGTCAGAACATGAGGTGCACATGATGGGGATCCCCGCGTCAGATACTTCAGATCAGGGTCAGGGGGCCGAACGGCCGTTCATTGTCCCTGGGTGCGTTGCAGAAATGATGTTCCGTCCGGCGGGTTCTGCTTAGTGTTTCAGGCAGTAGCGAAGCGTCTTGGCTCGCCTATAGCCCTACCAAACAATGTTCTGAGAACCTCTTGTGGTTTCCACGAAATGTTCTTAGAACATTTCTGGCGGAGATTGTTTTGTTTTAACACATCGGGTTTATGTTCTAAGAGCATCGTTCTTGTTCTTAGAACATTTTTGGGTTCTACGAACACTTCGTGGTATGACTATAGGAATGCCGGGACGGTCGGTCCCTGCTCAATTGTTGCGTTGTCCGTTGTCGTCGTCCTCGCCCGCGACCTGCCCACGACCCACTCGCGACCCACCCAGCGACCCGCCCGCGATCCACCCCGAGACTCACCCCGCGACCCACCCGCGACCCACTCCGCGATCCACCCCGCGCCCGCCCCCTCACTCTCATCCGCCATTGCGGGGTGCTACGCAAGATTCCTGGCGAAGGTTCCAAGCGTATGCGCGTGTGAGTGGTTACCACAAGGCAGACGAAAAGACGGAAGGTGACGAGCAGAATGACTACGGCATGGATGAGAAGGACGCGGGCGAACACGGGCAGGGAGGGTCAGAAACCAGGAGTGAGTTGACGCGTGGGGTATGCTTTTTTTCTGGCGCCCGCAAGATGCACCGAGGCCTACCGTGGAGCTTCCCATGAGGGCACGATCAGGGAATTATCTCTTCCGAAATGGGTGCGGGGGCGCCATTCGGTCGTGGCCGCTGAGACCCAAATCGGAACTCCCCAGCGGCGGCACGAAGCGTGTGAAGGGTGTGCCAAAATGGGCGCGGGGATGCCACTGCGGTTGTGGCCACTGTGAGCGTAGGTTGAGGGTGGAGTTCCTTATGGGGCCCCGCTCCTTCTAACGTGTGAGCCGCAATGCGCGCGGGGCCGTAATGCGGTCGTGTCCACTGGGGCAACTGGGGTTGGCCAGACCCTTGAGTCCCGGCTGTTTTACGTTCTGGACCGGGGCTCGTTTGAGTGCCAGTCCCCGCCGTGGAGGCTTGGACGCTCGGAGGTAAACAAAAGACGTGTTTTCTCCATGTCGTGACCACGAGACGTATGAGGGGGGTTGCCGAGATGGGCGTGGGGACGCCATGCGGTCGTGGCCACTGAGACCAATGTTGGAGCTCCCTATGAGGCCACGAAGCGTGTAAGGATAGAGGCGACATGGAGGCGGGGACGCCATGCGGTCGTGGCCACATAGATCGTGAGTGGGACTCCCCAAGGGGCTACGGGGCGTGCGCGCGGCGTGCTAAATTGGTTGCAGGGACGCCATGCGGTCGTGGCCAATGGGAGCGTAGGCGGAGCTCCTTTTGGAGCCACGAAGCGTGTCAGGGGTATTCCAGAAGGGGCGCCTGGACGCCATGCGGTCGAGGCCACTGAGACCATAGGTGGAGCTCGGTGCAGCTCCGCATGGTGCCACGAAGAAGAGCGTGAGGGGTGGGCCGAAATGCCAGGATACTGCGCTGAGCAGGCATGTGAGGACGGATGGGGGAGTCGGGAGGTACAGAGCCGTGGGGCGCTGCGGAGACGAAGACTTTGCACACAGCGGGATTTGGAAACGACATGGTCGTTTTGTACTTTTCGTTAGAGGCGCAGCAACAAGTATTTGGAACATTTGAGGTATTGCAATGAATGACTTTGGATTATTGACAGGGTCGCCCAAGAGACATCCCACTCGGTAGCGAAAGCAGGTGACGGCAGCGCGCCAGCTACGCGAACGCAGCCGCCAGGACCTCCAGGAAGAGATTCTGGTACTTTTCAGTTGCACGTGGAACGCTACTATGGGGAGAGTATACACGGCGTGCTGTTCCCCATGCCACCCACTCTCCCATCGTCGTTTTCCAGTGGAGCGCTTCCGGTAGGACCGCGCTACCACGGGCGGACGCGGGCGGGTCCGGCCCGCTCCTGCGCGCGAGCCCAAGCTGCAGGTGGACGGAAAGAGGGCAGCCCATCGAAGAGCCCAGGCAGGAGACACTGAGAGTAGGAGCACGAGGAGGAGGAGTAGGAGGAGGAGGAGGAGGAGGCGGAGGCGGAGGTAGAGGAGGAGGATGAGGAGGCGGAGGAGGAGGAGGCGGAGGAGGAGATGGATATGGAGATGGAATTGGAGATGGAGATGGAAATGGAGAGGGAGGAGCTGGCCCTTTCGGCAGACGTGCCCGGGCGATCTCAGTCGTGCCCCCTTTGGGCTGCTCGGGGCCTCCTCAGGCTTCGCGTTTGCCTCGCTGCCGCGCCACATGCAGCAGACGACCAGGCAGCTGATGACGTGCATCGGCGACGAGGCAGCGGAGCCGTGAGGGGGGGTGGAATCTGGGGGCCCGTCGAGACATGGGCGGCCCTCCTCCCTGATTCCGCCCCCCCCCCCCCTTCCTCCTGCTCCGCCCTCCCTCCCCCCCTCCGCCCTCTGCTCCTCGCTCGGAGGGGAGGGTCGGAGGCAGAATGGAGGAGGGGAGGGGGGCGGCCGCACCGCCGAGGTGCGACCAGGTCTTCGGGAGCGCATGGGCCGAGGGAGGAGAGCCGCCCAGCGCTGCAGTCTGAAGCAGAGGGTCGCCGTCAGCACTCGCGCTGTCGGGACGCGCGCTGCTCCCATCAAGCGAGGCGCGGAGGCGGGAGATCTCGGGGGAAGGAGGGATTGAGGGAGGGAGGGAGGGAGGGAGGAGCAGGAGGAGGGAGGGAGGAGGGAGGAAGGAGGAGGAGGGAGGAGGGAGGCAGGAGGAGTGAGGAGGAAGGAGGAGGGATGATTGAGGAGAATTGTGGCACGATCAACGCCGATTTGTGTGAGGACCTGGTATTCCATGGGATCCTAGGCCCAGGTGAGGTTGAATGAGCACGCTCTCAGTGAGTGTGTGGACTGCCAGTTATGCTTCGGTGCTCCAAAAAGTTGTTTCACGGGAGATTCGAGAGCCCCGCCTTCATCGCCGGCAGAAGGGAGCACCTGTCGGTCATGACGCGTCCTGCTGCTGAGCAGGCAGAGCTGTGGCATCAGGATCTTGAGAAGTTCGCGGAGAGCTGACGCCGTCCGCCCTGTCGGTAGGTGATTGTCACATGCACTGGTTTAGCAAGCCAGAGCGTGGGTAGCTCTCGGATCGGATCTTCAGTGTGGGATCGGCTCTCATGCCCATATCCGAGGGCTTCCGGCGCGCTGGCTGGCTGTTGTGCATGGTACATAATAATGGTGATCTCCTCTCGGCCGCGTTGGATGCGATGCCCAAGGAGTTGGCACCATACAGCAGGCCAGCGATGGGGAATGTTATGCATATCATGTGTCAGCCGGCCTTGTAGACAAATATTTTGAGATTTGAACGGGCTCGAGGGGACCCTTCGGAGTGTCTGGGACAGGGCGTTTGCGGTCTGCTGCTCGCGGTCCAGATTTTGGCATGTTTTGAGGATGGGATCGTGGCCTATAAGACTTTGGGACACGCCACCTTCACTGATGTTGTTGAGGGTCGCTCGTCAAACTTTGAATGAGCAGCCGACAAGTATGCTGGTAGGTTTGTTCAGGAAGGTGCGATGTTGCACCCAGCTGCAAGCCGTACCACCCCCTCCATGTCTGCTTGCTCTGTGGTGTCGTCGCGTCTCCGCTGGCCCCCATGTCGTTTACTTCGAGTTCCAGCCGACGAGCAGTGCTCCGCCCTTTCACCTGGTGCTGGCCACGTGAGGTGGGGCAGGGCTGTGATCCACCAGATGACCTAGTCCACACATGTCAGGCTATCACCGCAGGCCTGGAGGTTGACACCAACACCAATATCGGCGGTATGCCTCCACCGAGGGAAGACGATCCCGATCTCGGAGATGGTGGTAATATTATGGTTTTAAGGTGACTGAAATATTACCACGAACACCGACATCTAGGATCATCTCCCCCCCTGTGGAGGCAACCCCCTGTATTGGTGTTGGTGCCCATTTCAAGGCCTCCCATGGTAACACGATGAAAGTATGACTTCTGTCGGGGTGCAGGTAATTGGTTTCGTCCCCAGGGGGGTCAGTCAATCCCAGACATCCTCCCACATGATTTTTGCAATCCGCGGCCCCAAAAGTCCCTACCCCTTCCCTGGGGTCAGTGTTCGAACCAGATTCGTTTTTGATAGACCGTTGGCCTCCAACACCAGTATCGGCGGTGTGCCTCCAACGAGGGATGGCGATCCCGATCTCGGTGATAGTGGTATCATTCGGGCTTCCTAGGTGGCCGAAAGATTACCACCAACACCAACATCTGAGATCATCTTCCCCGGGTGGAGGCACCCCCCCGTGTTGGTGTTGGTGGCCATTTCCGAGCCTCCAATATCAGGAACAGGATTAGGGAGGCGTCCAGGACGAGAGAGAGGTCCAGGAGCAGGATGAGGAAGAGGCGGCATAGTGATGATGATGATGCTGATGCTGCTGATGATGATGGTGATGATGGTGAAGAGGAGGAGCTGGAGGCGGAGGAGGAGCAGGATGAGGACAATGAGGAAGAGGCTGCTGCTGCTGATGATGATGTTGATGATGGTGATGATGATGATGAGGAGGAGGAGGAGGAGGATGAGGGTGATGACGATGAGGATGAGGATGGTGATGCTGATGATGTTGATGCTGATGCTGATGCTGGTGATGATGTTGATGCTGCTGACGATGCTGCTGCTGCTGCTGCTGATGATGATGATGATGATGATGCTGCTGATGCTGCTGCTGCTGATGGTGATGATGATGCTGACGATGCTGATGATGGTGATGATGATGATGATGATGATGATGATGATGATGATGATGATGATGATGCTGATGCTGATGCTGATGCTGATGGTGATGATGCGGATGATGATGATTATGATACTGATGCTGATGCCGACGATGCTGATGCTGCTGCTGATGGTGATGACGATGATGATGATGACGATGATGATGATGATGCTGATGATGATGGTGATGATGATGATGCTGATGATGATGATGAGGAGGAGGAGGAGGAGGAGGAGGAGGAGGAGGATGATGATAGGGTAAAGCCGTAACGGTCTGGGAGCGGTGCTCGGCGCAGCCGTTGTTACATTAACATGCACACACACGGGCCCTAGGGCCCACGAGGGAGGGAGGAGGGGAAGTGAGCGCATTGAGCGCTCAGCGGCTCGGGCCCCTCGCCTCCGAGCCGCGCCCCCGCGAGCGGCTACGCGGGCGGCTCAGCGGCTCGGGCCGTCCGCCCCCGAGCTCAGCGCCCGCGCCTCCCCGCGTGGGGTGCCTCCCCTGCCACATCCTCCTCAGCGCGGCTTCTTGGCGGGCGCTGGCGCCACCCGCGCACCCGCCGCGGAGCGAGACCACGCGCGTCCCGTCGGCGTAGCAGCCGCAGACCGCGCAGAAGACGAGGCGCCGTTGCCCCTCGCCGATCGCCCAGAGGCGGTGCGACTCGTCAAAGTTCACGTTCCACCAGCGCGGGCGGCCGCCCGCGGCCTCGGCCCCCGCTGCCTCACCGCTCTCCTCCGCGTCGCTGCCGTCGTGCTGGGCGCCTCCACGGGCCTGCGCCGCCAGCACCGCTGCTGCCACCGCGCCCGCGGCGGCCGCTTCCGCGCCCTAGGCGCCTCGGCGGCCCGCGCTTGCGGTGGCCCGCGGGCGGCCGCACCGCGTGTCGGCCGCCTGGCCAGGGGCCTGGCGCTTCCGCCCCGCTGCCTGATGCCCCGGTGGCCCACCGTGGACGGGCGTGCCGCCCGAGCGGCCAGCGCAGGTGTTGCAGAGCCAGCGCGTCCCGTTCGCGACCGAGACCGCCGTGCCGTGCGCGGTGCAGGGCCAGCGTCTGCAGCCTGGCCCGCCGTCGCGGCAGCGCGCAGCGCCCCGCCGACCGCACCCGCGCCCGCAGCAGGTCGGCTCCGCCACGCCCGCGTCCGCGCCGTCGGCCGCCGTGAGCGCTGCGCTCCCCAGTTGCAGCGCCTCGCCGAGCCAGCGGGCCGTCGCTACCGTTATCGCATCGGCCCGCTCGATGCGCTTCACCGCCGCCTCGCACGCGGGGTGGAGCTCGGCGCCCTTCTTGGCGAAGCCGTCCGCGGCGCGGTTGCCCTCGTAGTCGTCCATCGTGGTGTAGCCGTCGCGGACCGAGCGGGCCGTGCCGTGCCCCTTCACCTTGGTGACCCGCACGCACTGCTGGCCGCCGAGGTCGCCCACGGTCTGCCAGAACTCGCGCCGCACCTCCAGGCACGGGCGGTCCCGCGCGCATCACCATGCCCTGCCGGCGGCGAAGCCCGTCACGAGCAGCTTGAAGTCCGTCCTGAGCTCGAGGATTCCATCCGCACCTGACAGGCCCCAGCGCAGAGCGCGGGCTGCGGCCATGATCTCGCCCGCGTTTGCGTCCTGCGGCAGGTGGGCGGGGACGCAGCCCCAGGCGCCGTGCGGCGCGCCGCGGGTCTGCAGCGCCGCAAGCCCCCACCTTGCCGCGCATCGCCGAGCCGCCATGCAGTGCACGGGATGCTGGCACCCGCCAGGACCGCGCAGCCGTGGCCGCTGCTCCACTGAACCTCCTCGGTCGCCAGCGGCGGCGGGAGGGCGGCCACCTGGTCGGGGATGGGGGCCCTCGAGTAGCGGGTGTCCTCGCTGCCGGACGCCGCGGCCACGTCAGCAAAGGCCTGCAGCGCCTCGTCGCCCGCGATGGCGCCGCGCCTCTGCTGCGAGGGCGGGGCACCTCCAGGCGATGTGCCTCGCCGCGCCGCGGCTGCCGCACCCCGCGGGGCAGGCCTCCGAGCGGCGCGGCGGCGGGTCGAGGGCGGCGCGGCGGGCCGCAGGCCAGAGCCCGCCGAGAGCCGCGTTGCGGGCGCTGGACCACCGTGCCCGCTGCTCGGGGTTCGCCCTGGCCGCGAGCAGCCGCCGTCGGAGGCCGCGGGTGGCTGCGCCAGTGGCGACGTGCTCGAGGTCCGCGTCGCGGGCTGCGGCCTCGCGCCAGAGCCGCCGCTGGTGTGAGTCGCGGATGTGCCTGCGGAGCGCGTGGCCGCCGATCTCTTCGAGCTTCAGCGCCGCGCCGTCGCCCGTGGCCCAGCGGCGCATTGCCGTTGAGCCCCAGCCGAGCCGCTCGAGCGCGAGCAGTGCCGCTGTCGCGGGGCCGCGCCCCGCCAGGGCGCCAGGCCCTTGCTCGTGGCGAACTCGCGCGGCGCGCCTCCGTGCCCATGGCATGCCGCCGGTGGTGTCGGGGCGGTCCCGTGCGAGCCCGCGGCCCCGGGCCGGGGGCGCGTGCTCCGCCTGCGAGCACCATGGGTTGCGCCACGGTGCAGCGGCCAGCGCGAAGCCCACCTGAAGGAAGCGAGCGGCTCCGCGTGCCGCCGAAGGTTAG